ATTTAATTTTATTTATAAAAATTATTTTATTTATATTTAAAATTATAATTTATAACTGTTTATTTAAGTTTTAATTGTTAACACTATATATATGAATAAGGACTAAAATTGTAGGTGATGAAATGATTTACTTTTAATTAATGTGCAACATAGTTTAGATAAACATTGTGTAATAAAAAATACAGATCCATTTTGTAAACATAGGCGAGTGGTGACAAAATAACATAAACAAAAAAAATCCCTAAAGATTAGGTCTTGGTAATCATCAAGGTATTATTCTAAAATATAAATTGCAACTCAATGTCTTGACTTCCTCCCTTAAACTAAATGTTTCGAAGCAATTAGTTTAATCAGTCATAACACATACTCCCAACAGCTTTCGAAGCTTCTAAAAAACATTAACCTTCAATGACTTGGTCATAATATCTGCAACTTGCTCTTGACTTTTGCAATGAACTAATTTAATTGTACCCTCCTTAGTAAGATTTCTTAGAAAGTAATATGCTTATTTCGATCATGCATGACAAGATTTTTATACAACTTGACGGTTAAGTTGTTATCACGCATGATAATTATGCAGCCTTCATAGGAATGTCTCAACTCCTTTAGAATTCTCTTAATTCATACTTATTGACAAGCACAAACAAACAATTGTTACAAATTATGCTTTTATGGTTGATAAAGTTACAATTGACTGTTTCTTTGAGCACCATGAGACAACACTTAAATTAATTAAAAACACATAACTAAATATACTTTCTCTATCTTCTAGATCTCTTGCATAGTCATTATCAGTTAATCCCAACAACTCACCATCTCCTGTTGTCCTATAATAAATTATACAATTCACAATACCTTTTAGGTATCGTAATGCTCTTTTAGTTCTTGGAGATGAATGTCCATTGGTTGTGCCATATATCTACTTATAAGACAAATGATAAACATCATGTCAAGTCTTGTGGTGGTGGGATACATCCCGAACCAACTGCTTAAAATAAGTTTCATCACAGTTTCGTTTTTGCTCAATTTGCAACTAGGAACTATTGGGCTGCATACTGCATTACTATCTAGCATCCCAAACCTCTTTAATACTTCTAGTGCATATTTTCATTGACATATATAAATGCCATCTGGCCTTTGCAGCACTTAAATTCCAAGAAAAAATCTCACTTTCCCCAAATCACAAGTATCAAATTCTCTTAACATGGAGTTTTTGAATTCAGATATCATGACTTCATCATTACCAATTAAAATTAAATCATCAACATAGACACTTACAATGATAATTTTTCCGTCTTAGTTTTTCTTGACGAATAGAGTTTAATCGCTATCATATTGCTGAAATCCTTCACCAATAAAATGAGCTTCAATTCGACTAAACCAGCTTGTGAACTTGTTTTAACCCATACAAGACTTTGTGCAGCTTGTAAACCAAATGTTCACTGACCTTCTTTTCATATCCTCTTAGTTGCTTTACATATACATCTTCATTTAGTTCACATGTAAGAAAATCAATTTAACGTCTAGTTGAAAAATCTGCCAACTTTTATGAGTAGCTACAACAATAATCATTCTCACTGTATCCATCCTTACAACTGGTGCATAAACCTCCATGCTTTTGAGAATACCTTTTTGCTACCAAGCTGGCTGTATACTTGTCAATTTGTCCATGCTCATTATATTTGATTTTGTAGACCCATTTCACTCCAATTTTTTTAACTCCAGTGGGTAGTTCAGTGAGTGTCCATGTATGATTTTTGGTGATGAATTTGATTCGTCATCCATAGCCAATCTCCAATTGGGACTCTTTATAGAGTCTTCAAAATACAAGGGATTACTTAACACCATTAAGGTCATGTGAATCTCATCCTTCAATAAGCCTTCACCATTAACATAATCACTCATCCATGTAGGAGGTTGCCTGTCTCTTTGCTTCTGTCAATTTAGAGATTGCTGAGACTCTCGATCTTCACTTTCATTAGATCTACCATTTTCCTCTACCCTTTCATCATAATTCTCAAGCTCACTGTTATTCCATTCTTGTGTCTCAGTCTAATCCTATTGCTTGTCTTCTTTAAAAATCACATCTTTGCTAATAATAACTCTTTTAACAATTGGATCAAACAACCTATATCCCTTTGATTCTTTACTAACCCCCAACAATACACAAGTGATGCTTTTATTGTCGAGTTTAGTTCTCCGTACATCAGGAACATGTTCATGTGCTATGCATCCAAAAACTCTGAAATAACTAACCAAAGGTTTTGCACCACTCCATGCTCCTCACGTGTTATATCTTTCACAGCCAATGTAGGGCACTTGTTTAAGAGATAAATAGTCCAATTTACTGCCTCTGGCCATAAAGGCTTAGGAATGCTTTTACCAGATAACATGGACTAGACCATATTCATCATTGTTCTATTCATCCTTTCAGCAACACCTTTTTGTTGTAGCTTGAAGGTAGCGATTAATTGCCTCTTTATTCCATTCTCTTGGCAAAATTCATTGAATTCATTTGAATTGAATTCTCCCCTTTGTGTGTTCTTAAACATTTTTAATAGACATTTCAGTCTCCTTTTCAACCATAGTCTTGAAGCATTTGAAAGAGTGCAAATGTCTTTGATTTTTTTGCCAAAAAATACACCCATGCAATAAGGAGAACATCCTATTGGCACTCATATCAGTTTGAATGATCAGACCCTTCTATGGATGAAAAATCTTGCACTTTCCTCCCTTGATAAGAATGACCATACCTTTCTCTTGTAACTGTTCCATACTCAAAAGATTATTTCTCAACTCTGGGATATAATACACCTTAGTGATTATTAGTTTTGCTCCACCTAACAACTACTTTATGCTTCCTTTTCCCATCATGTTCATCTCTATATTGTTGCCCAATTTTACGGAATAACGAAAAGCTTCATCAATCTCGTGAAATAGAGTTGAATTCACCACACATGTCCTGAATCAAGGAACCATGCATCTTTCCTTTTAAACTCAAATGACTGTTCATAAGCCATTAAGAGCAGTTTTTCTTCCTCGACGTTCTCAATATAATTGACTTCTTTCTTTCAAGGACATTCATAGTGAAAATGTACTAATAACATTCAACAGTTGCTTTGCAACCTTGACCTCTTCCTCTTCCTTGGTGACCACCTCAACCTCCTTCACTAGTCACTTGCAACACCTATTCCTCATTATTTCGTCTGTGAAACTTTTTTTCGTGTACTATTTATTAATGAACTTTGTAACTCATCAATAGAAAAATCATTGATGTTTTTGAGCTCCTCAATAGAACACACAATATAATCAATTTCTCTGTTAGGGAAAGAAGAATTTTTTCCACCACCTTTACATCAGGCATGTCCTCTTAATAAGTCTGTATTTTGTTCAGTGACAGATCTTGACCATTGATTTAAGGGGGGATGAATAATAATATATTATTAATAAATAATAAATAAATATAAAAGGTTGAAAGAAGATGAAAGGGTGAGAGGATATAAACTTGTAAATATACAAATAAATATATGAGAGTTACAAAATTTTGAGGGGGCCAAGACCCCCTCGACTTATAAAGATTCGCCACCGATTTTGTTGGCCACTGTTATAACTCTAGAAAAATACTCCATCACTGTTTCACCAGATTTCATCTCTAGGATTTCAAAATTTTTGTAGAGAGCTTGAAGATGAGACCTTTTAACCCTTACATTTCCAACATGTTTTTTCTTCATATCATCCCATATATCTTTGGAAGTGTCTTTTATTAGAATGATGTCGAGAACTATGTGATCAATTGCTTGAAAGAGGTAATTTTTCACCTTAAGATCCTTGAGCTTCATCTCATCAGTCTTCTTCCACTGGACATTGGTCTGTGTTGTACTGTCTGCTACTGCAACGTAACTTGAATTAATTAATTTCCAATACTCCTTAGATAGTAGAAAATTCTTCATTAGTACGTTTTAATGATCATAATGACCATCAAAGTGAGGAATAATTGACTATACAAAGCTTCCTTTTGAAGTCATGTTATTCTGCTGCAAACAAAACTCAAAGATTGCTAATTTGATGTGTCAGACGTAGTGGGGGCTCTGATACCATATTGTTAATACTTGATATATGAATAACGACTAAAATTACACGTGATAAAATGACTTGCTTTTTATTGATGTGTAACATAATTTAAATAAGCATTGTGAAACAAGAAATGCAAACTCACTTGATATAAACATAGACTAGTGATAACAAAATAATACAAACAAAGAAAATCCATAAAGACTAGGTATTGATAACCTATCAAGATGTCATTTTAAAGGAGAAATTGCAACCCAACATCTTCGTTAATAAATATTATTATATAAAATAAGAAAAATAAAATATCATATCATTTTATTTAAGAAATAGCAAGTTCATCAAACTTAATTCTTACATTATCTTTCTACATCCTCACATTATGGTTTATGAGCTAGGATAAAATGGTTTTTAATTATGGGAGTACAACAAGAAAAAACGAGGTGCAGGAAGGAAGAAAGTACGTTGAAATTAATTCGTAAACCAAAAGGTCCAAAGTAAAGTCTGGACAGAAGGAGAATGGGCCATGACACCTAGTATCTTAGAAATAAGTCACGTGCACGAAAAAACATGCATATCTCATCTTTTTCAATTTCTACAGTGTGCATTGAGCGCACGTTAGCCCAGTTCACCCCACGCCAGAAGCCCATACTCCGTGTCTTGCTTCCACCTAACCAACTCATATCTCTGAAAAAAACTCTACTTGCCCTCCCCAAAATCCCCTCGTAACTCACTCTATCCCTCTCAATTAGGGTTTGCGTTTTCACTCTCTCTCCCTGCCTCTTTGCTTCTTCTCGATCCCTTGCGTTTCAATGCCTGCCAAATCCGTCAGTAAACACCAAACAGTGTTCAACCGTTCAATTATCGACCGAATTCGGCGCTCGATTTAGTTCATATCACTTCTTCTCCTCATTTGACTGTAGGTTCCTCCTATGGCGCCCAGCCGCAGAAAGGGCGTCAGTAAGGCAGCGGCGGCCGCCGCCTGTCGCCAGTGGAAAGTGGGCGATCTTGTGCTTGCCAAAGTCAAGGGCTTCCCTGCATGGCCTGCCACGGTTGGTTCCTCTTTCTCTTAAATGTAAAAAGTTTGTGTTTTTCTCTTAACTAAGCTGTTTTAAATGTGTTTGAGGTTTTATCGGATTTGCATGTTGAGTAGAGTCAGGATTCTTAGTTTCGTGTGACAATTTTCTAGAAGGATTGTGGATCCATGCTTGAGTTCCATGGCTTTTTATGTTTTCGTGGGTTATGGTTCTAGAAGGGTTATGGTTATGTTGTGCATAACTGGAATGAGTTCAGCGTATTTTTAAAATTTAATCTTAAATTCTGAAGTCTATATTTCTTCTTTCGGAGAAGGCGACTTTTGATTTCCTTGGTAGCAAGGGGGAGAAGATGGAAACTGATTATAGGCTGAAACCATCTGGGGCTTTGACTCTCCTGTTTCTCCTCCTCGCAGGAAAAATAACTGTTGAATAAGTAATGCAACACTTGGTATGCTTCTATATGAAATGATTTTTGAGTCATTATCATTTTATTTTTACTTGTTTTAATCAGGCATCTTTATATGGAGTCCAAATGTAGTCACCTTGCCTGACAAGGTCCCCTCTTTAGTTGTTGAATTGAGAGAGCCTGACTGAAGAAGAGAAATTGTTAAAACGGAGAAGTGAGGGATTTAAAGTGAGACATGTAAAACAATAGTGTGAGGGAGGTGAGTGTGTGAGATTAGGAAATGTTACCCACCTGTCAGGTTTAGTGTAAGTTTTATCCTTGATTAAAATTAAGAAAAAAAATTACTTCTGTAACATTTTTTTTTCCACTCTAATGGAACATATTTTACTCATCAAAATTTATTCCCTCTGATCAATCTCACCTTAGATAATGATGAAGAAAAAGGGGTTTTAGAGGATAAAAATGTATTTATTTTTGTTTGTTGTCCTTCTTTTTTTGTAGTAGCTAACTAATCTAGTTCTTTGCGGGTGGCAGGTAAGTGAGCCTGAGAAGTGGGGTTACTCCACTGATTGGAAGAAAGTGCTTGTTTACTTCTTTGGAACTCAGCAAATGTAAGTATTCAAAGTAATGTATCATTTGATTGTTTGAATGCTGATAATATGCCTGTTGTGGCTATTGATTTGTATAGCATAGTAAGTTTTGGAATCAAATATACTTGTCCAAATTTCATAACCAAGGCATGAATCAATTGGTAATGTGGATAGGACAAAATAATATTGTTTGTTTGGTGCCTACGCAATATTTTGATGGATAGAAATATAAATTGTATCAAATGAAAAAGTTATTCTAATGAAAAGTGGTGGTTGTGACTGAGATCCAATCATTGTGGTGGTAATAGTAGTGGAGTGGGGCAATGTTTACAGTGGTTTGGTGGTAGAGGTGGAATAAAGAAGCTGCGGAAGTGTGAGGGCAGGGGGTAACTTATCTCTCTCCTATCGTATTTGTTCTTTACCCAGCTCCTTTGAGCCAATGAATAGTATGTGATAATCAAACAGGATATCTGTTGGAAAAGTTAGATTTATCTATTGTCAGCACAGTCTTCTACTGGCTACAGAGAAATATTTTTTATTGTAAATGCCCATGTAAGAGCAGGTCTCGTGTCTGAACTTGTCCCCTCTTCCTAAATTGTACTCCTTCTTGATATACATACATACATATAGAGTGTGTGCGTGTGTTTACCTTTTTAGATTTTGAGTGCAGTTCAACCGAAGCATTTGATCTAAATCATTCCTTTTTTTTTAACAGTATTCTATCGGCTAACCACATAGTTGATTAAAGTATATTGTAGCTTATCCCATCATATCATCTTTATTGTACCACTAATTGAGTCCTTTGTTTGTAGTACATGTAAGATATCCACAATATCATGATGACTTATGAATACAATGTTAAATAGTAACTAATAAGGTTTGATTGTGGTCGTCTTGTTGATATTTCAATGAGTGATACTTTCTAGACAATTGTTAGTTAATAATTTCCCTTCATTGCCAACATTGTTCCCCACCGAACTTGGCAAGTGTTATATATATATATATATTATTTTTTTTATATATGTATTATTAATTTCCCTTCATGTATCTGCTATTGGATTATTTGATAGTACATTGTTTATTTCAATATTGTTTTACGGAAGTACAAGAAGATGATTTGCAGTCATCAAAGACCACTTAAGAGGACAGTGTTGTTGTGATGTTTACTTTCAGCTTGCTTGATGTTATATGGCATACCTATAATTTGGGTGAAACCCTACATTAGATGATTACTAACTGTGATAAACATTTTCTGTAATTTGAGATACTTGATTAAAATGTAATGAGAAATCAATATATGTTTTACCACTGATGTATTTGTATTTATATATAGGAGAGTACAAAACAAAAGGTTTGGCTCAGGCCTTCCACCCTAACCATAAAATAAATCCTTATTTTAACACTCCCCCCTTAAGTTGGACCATATAGATTGTATACACCAAGCTTGGAACAACTTGAGATAAATAAAAGAGAGAAAATGTTTTTAGAGAGATTGAATGTTTCTCTTTTAGGTTCTGTTTTTTATACATGCAAAAAGTAGAGATACAATAAATGGAGGTAATAATATGAAGAGCTTCCTGATTGTCACAATACAACTCCATCTACTCATTTACATCAGATGATTACTAACTGTGATAAATATTTTATGTAATTTGAGATACTTGATTAAAATGTAATGAGAAATCAATATATGTTTTACCACTAATGTATTTGTATTTATATATAGGAGAGCACAAAACAAAAGGTTAGGCTCAGGCCTTCCACCCTAACCATAAAATAAAATCGTTATTTTAACACTCCCCCTTGAAGTTAGACCATATAGATTGTATACACCAAGCTTGGAACAACTTGAGAGAAATAAAAGAGAAAATGTTTTTAGAGAGATTGAATGTTTCTCTTTTAGGTTCTGTTATTTATACATGCAAAAAGTAGAGATACAGTCAATGGAGGTAATAATATGAAGAGCTTCCTTATTGTAACAATACAACTCCATCTACTCATTTTCACACATTGTCAACTCTTGAAGTTGTTTAATCCACAAAGTTCATAAGTACCTAGAGGCAGCAACATTTTGTTTTTACTCTTCCAAGAAATAATATTCCTTCCAATGAATGGGCCAGCCAACCCAGTATGCATTACAACACCCTAATATTTGAGTATTTCCCTTGTCCTCATACAACAATCTTGGAGCCCTTTTCACATATATGAGAATGTAACTCAAAACAGTCCAATGATCAAGTTAAGGATTCTTCACCAATTGATTAACAATTCCAACTGCATAAGAAAGATTGGGTCTAGTTATAGTGAGATAAATGAGTTTTCCCACAGCCTCCTATATCTCTCTCTTGAGAAAATTTATTAATTTTTTTGTATGTATCCATAGCATTATCAATGGGCCTGCAATTTGCCAAACCTGTCTCATCCAAAATATCAAGCTCATATTTTCATCGTGAAATGATAACACCTTTTGATTGAGCCACTTCAATTAAATTATTTTAGGTAGCCAAGGACTTTAGTCTGAAAGTGGCTGAGTAAGTGCTTTTATAATTGAGCTATCCTAGTGGTATTGTTTCATATGATAATTATATCATCAACATAGACCATATGATAAAGACACTTCCCAGTAGAAGTAGGACAATGATCTGCTTCACTCTGTTCCAATCCAAAACTTTGCATATTGTTTTTTGGTACCAAATTTGATGTGGTTTAGCTACACTCGTAAATCAAGCCAAATAGTGGCTCTATAACTAGGAGTGGGAATGTTGTGATGTGGCCATATGCTACTGTGACACTCCTGGGCTCCAATCATTATCGGATTTGTGCCATGGTCTTTTTTAGTTGAGAATATATGCGTGCTACGATGCTTTTGCTGAGAATGGCAATATAAATAGTTTGATTTGTGATGTTAATCATGCAAATTGATGTGCCTCATTCATAAATGACATGAACCAATTGGTGAATTAGAGTACATCCAGAATCTTCACCGGAATTGCCGAAATCTTGCAAATCAAACAGAGCTTTGTGATTCCATTGCTGGAGAAGCTACATCTGCATATACTGTGCTTGTCACACACAGTTGAGTGAAGAAAATAGCTTGATGTGACCCAAAATAATAAAACCTAATACATGAACCTGAAACGGATCAAGTGAAAATGATGTGGTTTTTTTTATTGAATTCAGCTTGTCTACAATGTCATTCTTCTTTCTTTTGCTAGTTGTCAGTTTTATATTTTTCTATTAGTACCTCTCGAATAGGAGTTCAAGTCTGATTAGAAATAATAACGTACTTAAAAAGAATGTGTTTGTTTGATTAGAAAATAAAACCAAATTTCATTCATTTAAAAATAAAAATGCCTTATCCTACCAAGTGTGGTGGTCTGCTGCAAGGATTACCCGACACTATTTTGGCAAGGTCAAAAGACCAAAGTTTAAGAAATATTATTCAAGATGAGATCTCCCTGGACGACTAGCTCCAAAGTCTATTTTGGTCCCCCCGCAGTTTTACAGTAATACAAATCATGGATCCTATTCTTCTGGTTGGTGCCTCTCATGGTCTTCTGTTAGAAACCAAGAATTAAACAGAAAAAGAAAAGAAAGTTTCTTTATTGAATAGAATGAAAAGAACAAGAAATAGGAGAAGATTCTCCTTCAAGGGTTTCCCCTTCACAAAAGATTTCTCCTTTTACAAAGAGCTAATGCTCAATTTACAAAGAATATCCACACCCTTCTCCTATCCTTCACACCCTATTTATATCTAAACAACACCTTATGCAATTAACTAACTCATTAATATGCTAACTATCTTCCTAACTTTCCCTTCCCCTTATACTCTAATATCTTCTTTGTATCTGTCCAAATCACACTGAAAATGGTTTTCTGTCGTCTTTTCTTCAATCGGTGCCACACCAATCATTTCATATATATACCTTTATTTATTTTATTTAAAATATATAAGAAAGTTCTTTATACTGACTTATCAAATTTAATGGGATATTTGATAGATGTCAAATTATTTTTAGTATATTTCTTAATCCTATGATTCAATATTCTTTAGGGTTCATCATTATAAAATTGGCCATTGTGATTCACGATTTGAATTATGATTCAGTAGCCTTGCTGCAGAGATTAAAGTATTGACTGCAGCTTGTTATTTCTTGCACAAAATCATTGCACAGAAGATATCACATCTTTCTTTCCCCATAAAACCTGGCATGTGTTTCACAACTGTTGCTTTGTTTAAGCAAGTTCCCAGCCTTTATAAAGTGGTTGGGCATTTCCTGGCTCTGTTTTGGGTTGTGTACAGTATGCACTACAATCAAAGTAGACAAAAATCGAGATCTTACTCAAGATCAAAAAGGGGAGTATAAATTGTGAATCAAGAGATCATAACATGAATAGTAAGATCTTACAAAATTTATGAAATTCATATATATGCCAAATATTTAAACTTCAATTCCAAATGACAAGCAAAACACAATATAATGAGCACAAAAATAGTAAGGCAATAGGTGTAAACCATAAATTCTTCATAGTAACAAAACATTAATTATCAATTAATATTTCTATCTGAGTTACAAAAAAAATACTCCATGTCCAATTCCATCTCCTTGACCATTCAAATCAATAATGTCTAAATCATCTTGAGGTGTAATTTCATCCAAATCCAAGTTGGCTATGTCCAAACCTAAGCATTCATTCTCCCCAAGCACATCTTCCGTAATCTACTCATCATCAGATGAACAATCATCAATATTAGTTTGACTGGCTTGACCATGGATTTAGCACCTCTTAAGTGAGAAGGTAAGGACGCATCCAGGCTTGATTTAATAGTAGTGCTTTCTAACATAACCTAATTTTCAGTTGGAGGCTATATGTAATCCTTATCGATTACATTTTGGTTGCAATGAGAAATGTTGGGTAGTTTGTGCACTAATGATGCATAATTATTTTGGTTAAATATTTGTTGTGGTCTAATATTGAAGCTTTTGTGCTAATCTGTAGCGTTTATTTTGTTCTCTTGCACACTAACTTGTGTTAGTTTTGAAATGATATTTTGTTTGTAGAGCTTTCTGCAATCCTTCTGATGTGGAAGCATTTACTGAGGAGAAAAAACAGTCTCTTCTCGGAAAACGTCATGGAAAGGGTGCTGATTTTGGTCGTGCTGTTCAGGAGATAATTGATTGTTTTGAGAAATCAAAAAAAGAGTCTCATCTTGATAAAACTGGTCTTGTTGGTGATGTTGCTAATGCAGATGTTTCAAATCCTGTTAACTCATCTGCCAAGGATCAGACAGATGCCCCTGAGTTGACACACATTTTACCAATGAATTCTTCAAATTCTATTATGAACAAACATGAAAATGTAGTATGTGCAGCTGAGGATGAGTCAGCTGCTGTATTTAAAGATGAATCTGCCAATAAGGAGGCAATGTTGGGGGAGCCTACTGATACGATTGCTGTGGTAAAATCTCATAAGCCAGTTACTTACTCTTCTCGGAAAAGGTCTGTGACTGACTTGTGTTTGCAGGGTTGTGTAACACAGAGACATACCTCAGCACGAAGGTCTAGAAATCCATCACGGGCCCAAAATTTTGTGTTGCCTTATAATGACAGTGCAAAGAGTGCTGGTGACCCATCAGCTACTGCAGCCCAGAGTGCATGTACAAGGAGAAGTAAACGTGTTAGGAAATCACCTGATCTTTCTGGCTGTGATGATCTTGAGTCATCTGCTTTTGTCTCAAATGGTAGCTTAGAGGACAACAGTTCTGAAATTATAACAACTGATTCTGATACTTTTAGCTTGAATGAGGGTAGTACAATAGATTCAAATTTTAAATTTGAACTCTCTGAATGCCCAGAAGTTGAGTTGAGCAAAGGGCTTGATCTCAAAATAAAACCTGTAGTCAATAAGAAAAAAAGAAAACCCAATAGGAAGAGGGCAGCTAATGATGCTTCTAAGCCAACCAGTAGGACAGAGGAGGCTGGTGTGCAGAATGCCAGTCAAAGTTCACAGAATGTTTGTGGAAATTCAAAAGAAAGATGCTTTGAGCAAGATGGGGATGAACACTTGCCCCTTGTGAAACGAGCAAGAGTCAGGATGGGTAAATCATCTGTGGAGGCAGAACTTCATAGCACTCTCCAATCTCAAGAAAAAAACTGTAAGGAAGATACTAACTCAGGACAGCAGATTATCACATCCTCAAATTGTGAGAATAGCCCTGCTGATGGAGACTCATCTATATTGAATGGAGCTTTGGATAATGTTTCTCCAAAATTTTCTGTTCCATGTTCCAATACTCAGATTTGTAATACTAAGAAAGATCAAACTTTCAGCTCTGTGGATGGTGAAGCTGCTTTACCCCCATCTAAACGCCTCCATCGTGCTTTAGAAGCCATGTCAGCTAATGCTGCTGAAGAAGATCAAGCTCATATGGAAGCTTCATCATCCACCCTAATGACAGCAAGTGGTATGTGCTGTGTATCTGTTGTGAATAGATATCCGAGTATTGCCATTAATAATCAAGAATGTAATGATTTTGGGCTGCAAAAGTTGGATACTTTTAACAATGATTCTTCTCATATCAATGATTCAATCAGTTCAAATCCAATGAATTTTATGGAGAATAAATCACCTATTCAAGTGGGTAGGCAAGAACATGAAACTGGCAACGATGTTCTCCTGGGTGCTACAGCTCAAGTTGTTGAAGAGTTTAGTGGTCATATGGTTTGTCAGTCAGATAAAGCTGATTTAAAAACTCAGTCAAATGGACAAAATTCTCCTAATGCTGATTCCAAATGTTGTGATGTTGGAAAAGATTCACCAGATCCATCATTACCACCAAGTAATGAAGACAATGTTAGAACTGTGAGTCAGTCAAATTCAGAATCTGATGCATCAGAGCACAATGGAATGAGCATTGTCCCTGTAATGGGTGTGAATGAAAATGATGCTTTTTTACCTCACAATGTTGATGTTCTTCGGAATGAGGTTACTGTATGTGAGGATACAGAGTGCTTGAAGCCAGCAGTTGATGATATTGGCACAGCAAATGATATGTAAGCTTTAGTTATGGCATGTTATAGTTCTTAGCCTTTTAACTCTCTTATTCGAATCCTAAAGCAAAGAAGAAAAAATAATTATGAAAAATATTTTTATTCTTGTACCCGTAAAGCTTTTTTTTTTTTTTTTTTTTTTCTGTTATGACATCTTGTTTTAGTATTTGCCAATTCGGTTGGATCAACTTATGCATCTCATTTAGATCATTTGTTGTGTAAGTCTTTTTTTTTTTTTTCAGCGTCAACTAATTGTGGGGTTCAGTTTGGTGGAATTCTTCAGGGTAAATTGATGTTATTAAATAATGTTTTAATGATGGTGAATATGAAATGGATCAATTGCAAACAAAAGGAGTTTATACTTTATTTCTTTCAATTTAAGAATGCTTTTTATCTGTTGTTCAATTTCAGGCATGAGGTTGTGAAAGAGGTACGGTGTAAAGGTCCAGAGGTGGATATGAATTCTGTCTCAACATCTGATGACTGTTTGGGTGAAAAGGGTATTTCAGACATTCGGTCCAGTCCATCCTTGACAGATGGGGGAGATTGCATTCCTCAAGGATCTCCTCCAGCTACTTCTGTTTGCAATGTTTCAACGTCGGACAGTAGTAATATTCTTCACAATGGAAGTTGTAGCCCTGATGTACATTTACACCATAAGCAAACTTTATCTGGTCCTCTTGATGGAAGGAAAGATGGGTATGTGGCAACACAACAATCAAGATGTATGGGGAAGTCAACTGAAGCAGGACGTGCTGCTTTATTGTACTTTGAAGCAATGCTTGGGACATTGACAAGGACAAAGGAAAGTATTGGTCGAGCAACACGCATAGCTATTGACTGTGCAAAGTTTGGTATTGCAGACAAGGTAAAATGATTAAAAAAATACCCTCTATCTTCTATTATGAAATGCTTGTTGTGAATATGATAAGAATGTTGAGAGAACCACACCATAAAGGGTGGCTATTGTAGTTGGAGAGTCCAAATCCTTGTAAACCTCATACTAGAATCCCATATTTCCAATATGAGACTCAAGTCCCATACCTTGCAATTGGATCCTAACAGTGTCTTTCTCTACCTCCTCTAATCTTTAAATATTATTTCTTACTATGAGCAGGAGAGGGTAAAATTATGCATATCCAATTATTCATGTACAATTTTTTAATGAAACTTTTTTCAAAAATAATTTATGGATTGTAGTTTAATTTCATTACATATGTAGATTTTCTTGTAACAATTTGCGTTGATTGTCATGCTGTATTTTCAATTTTCAGTTCATTCCTCATTGCCGTTATTTTGACGACGCCTCTTCAAATGGTGAAGAATAAGTTTTAATTGTAGTATTGGGTTTAATTGAATATGCTAGTTTGAATCTAACTAAGAACTTGGCTCATGTATTTAGTGTTATAATTCTTCTGGACACTGATGAGACTTAAATTCCACCAATAGACTTTGTAGTCATGAAAATTGTTGAACCTTTGTTACAAAATGCTTACATATCTATTGCTCATTGCATTTACATTGTTTGGTGTCTTGGGCTGTGTTCCAGGTCATGGAAATTCTTGCTCATTGTCTGGAAATGGAGTCTAGCATGCATCGGAGGGTGGATTTGTTTTTTCTTGTTGACTCTATTGCACAGTCTTCTCGTAGTTTAAAAGGTGACTTGTTTGATTTGATACTTTGCTCATATTGATTCTAAGAGAAGAAAGAAACATGTCAAAGACAGACAGTTAATTAATTTGAATGTGAATGTCTGATTTTGCAGGTGATCTTTGTGGAGTATATTCATCTGCCATTCATGCAGTCCTTCCACGACTATTATCAGCTGCTGCTCCTCCTGGAAATACTGCACAAGAAAACCGTAGGCAGTGTCTCAAGGCAAGTAAATTAAGTTTTGTGTTGATGAAGTCAAACAAAATGCTCTTTTCTTACATATCTGTTTTGCATCATCAGATTTTGTTAAGCTTTACTTTGAACTTGTATAGGTTTTAAGGCTGTGGCTGGAGAGAAAAATCTTACCAGAGCACATAATTCGACGTTATATTCGGGAACTGGATTTATATAGCAGTTCTGCTACAGCGGGCGTCTTTTTGCGTCGATCAATGAGAACAGAGAGGGCTTTGGATGACCCTGTTAGAGAAATGGAAGGCATGCTTGTTGATGAATATGGAAGGTTTGCATTCGTTAGTACAGATTCTTTCTTATTTTTGCATACTTCTGGGACTGTTTTCTTATTGTTCATTTGATCTTGTAGCAATTCAACATTTCAGCTGCCTGGATTCTGCATTCCCAGGATGCTTAAAGATGAAGATGATGGTGAATGGAGTGATTCTGATGGCGGGAACTTTGAGGCTGTCACGCCGGAGCATGTTTCAGAAGTAGATGAAATGACTTCTGCAGATAAAAAACACAGGCATATCTTGGAAGATGTTGACGGTGAACTTGAAATGGAAGATGTAGCTCCGGCGAATGATGTTGCAATAAATTTGATTTCTGATGTTGATGGAGAAACTGACAAGCGGTTTGAAATGAATTTGCCTCTGGCTGTTGCTTCTCAACATCAGGATGTGCATTCATCTTCTCCACCACAACCACCACCATTCCTTCCTCCACCACCTCCTCCTCCACCTCCACCCCCACCCCCTGTGCTACACCACATACCATCTACCTCTGATCCATATAACACCGTAATTAATTCCAATGGTTATACTTCACAGGTAAGCCTCGCAACTTTTGCTTATGATTTTGCCACCAAGTAACAACTAACTAACGGCTTACTTTGTCCTTTCTAATCGAGCTCATTTACAGACTCTGAAAGACAGCTCACTTCCCTCTATGGTTCAGCCCATGGCTGCCCCTAGACATAGCCAACCTATCAATGATGCAGTGCACCATCAAGTCCCTGGTTATAGAGAGATGCACATGCCAGAATCTACATGCTCTTTCAACAGTTTTCCTGTACCTCCTCCAGACAATTTTGGACATACTGATGGTGTTGCTATGCATAATAAGGGGTACTCTATTCGGCCTCCCCAACATGTACCGTCCAATCAGTTTTCTTTTGTTAATGGGGAACGACATGTGAATCTTCGAAGGGAGGTTCCACCACCCCCTCCTTGCTCCAGTAGACAACACTTTGCGCAGAACATGGAGAGAGAGAACTTCTATAATAATCATGAGAGAATAAGACCACCTTACCAAGAGAGATGGAATGTTCCTGTGCCCTATCCCGGTAAGATTGGGATAACTGATGATTCTTGTGATATTTGTCATGTATATTTCATATTAAGTCCTGAATCAATCATGTAATGTTTGTTGTATTCATATGGAATGAAATCAAAGTATCTTTCTTTGGTAGGTCCTCGATATCAGGATAAAGATGTGCCTGCTCCTTATGGTTGTCATCCATGTGAATCAACTAGAATACCAGATCATGGGTGGAGATTTCCTCCACGTTCTATGAATCAGAGGAACTCCATGCCCTTTAGACCACCCTTTGAAGATGTAATTCCAGTTTCAAACAGAGGTGCTTTCTCTTTTTACACCACATTTTCACTTCTGTAGTTAGAAATTTCGTATTGATATAATGTCTTTTGCTCCTATTGAATTCTGGGATAGAAAATAGTAAACGCTAAAATATTTATGTTTCAGGTCCGAGCTTTTGGCAGCCTAGGTAATCAGAAAATACTTAGAAACCATGATTGGTATACATCTCTTTATCCTCTTTTCTTTAGTGCTTGTCCTTCAGCTAGTAATATTCTTGTTGGTACTCATGTTTCCCTCTTTTGATTGCTAGGTATCAGGCCTTGTTTGAAAAGGTGATTTACCATTCTGTACATGCATGAATCCTTGGTTGGAAGGGGGCTCGGCGGAATCTGCACAGGACATGTAATGATCTGCTAGGTTTTGTACATATGTATTTTAGCCTCTTCTGCAGAATGCAGGGCAGGGCAGGATGAGTAATTGTAGAGTTGTTGGAGAGGGTAACCTATTTAGGTTGTCATGTGTCAAATTTTTTGCTCCAAATTTTATAACTTATTTCATTGTAGCCTTTACAGAAGTTAGTTCAATATACATATAATATATATACATACAAATTTCAGGGATGTTTCCTGAAATTGTACTATTATTAGTATATGGAAAATTTTCTTCTCTGCCAAGTGTGTATGGTCTTATTCTCTTAGTGGCCGCCAACTTAAATGGGTTGTTTGGGTTCCTTTCCATAAAAGGTGCTGTCCTGTAGTGCCAGCCTTGAGAATTTATGAATTTCTTATTTCTAAATTCCGATTAAACCTAAGATGGCATTCATCTGCCTCTGCTTTGGGTAGGTATCTGTTCATGTTATTTATGGAAAAATGTTTAATAACAGTAAGATATATTAAAGAGTAGAGCGAATAATTATTTTAATTTTAAGTAACACTTATATGCTTTTAAATTATAAGAACTGTTGAATTGGTTGGAAAATAAACTAGTTCGGTGAATAACATTTTGAAAAAGAAATGTAAGGTCAAACGAGGAAAGCAAAGCAAACAATAGTTTTTAGGTATAATTTGTCTTCTATTAGAAACAGACAAACGTTGATGAGAGTACGTGAATTGTTAGAGGAAAAAGAAAACACTTACTAGTTAATTGCAAAAGGATCTGCAAATTTATGAAAAAGAAAGATAGTTTGGTGGTTCTATTGGTTACTTAAACAAAATTCAAAAGAAAACATGACTTGAAATGAAAATGAGATAAAAAAATCAGATGTCATACCAATATGTTTAATGCACGGGGTTTATGTTGAGTTAGAAAATTATTATTTAAACTGGCGTGTATATATTATTATTTTACTCTTTAGTTATATGCACGTTCTTTTTCTATACTCACTACACATTATAGATGGCGTATTCTCCTTTTAAATTTGATAAAAATAATAATATATTATAAATGATGATAAAAAACTATTAAGAAAGGTATATATATATATAACGAAAACACACTAACATTAAGATGGCGTATTCATATTTTGTATATTATTATTATTATTATTATTTTATTTATTTATTCTCTATTTTTTAGATGTACTTCAAAGTTTCTAACTTTTATTAATTAAACTATAATTGAAAATGAATTATATGTAATACTATAGTCCGTTAAAGAATTTTATTGAACATTTTAGTTTATGAACATATTTTATTGAAGATTTTCTATTTCTCGTTTTATAACAAATATGTAAAATCCTTTTAATGTAGAAATTAAGTGTTATGTTTACATATTTTTTTCATTTTGTTGACTGTAAAAACATACTGAATACTATTATGTTCATTAAAAACAATATGTAGTCACTTATTAAGTGTAAAAATTAAATCAAATTGTTATACATATCAATTTGTTAATATTACATCACTTTAAACAAATTATTATGGTTATTATCATTAAATTAATAAATATTTAAGATTTTTTACTTAAAATGTTTCAAATATCTCGATTAATATAATGAAAGTACATCTAACTATCTAATGTCATTAATAGTATGCATTCAATTCTTAAGGAAAAAAATTATTTCATATTTATATATCAACATTCAAAATATAATTTATCAAAGATTTTAATAAACATTAAAACATAATAAAAGAAATTAATGAGTTAGCGCATATACTCCATTTATTATGTTTAATAAACATATTATCTAAAAAAATATATTTAATATACTATAGATCACATTGACTCCTAATAATAAATGATCGTATTTACTAAATACAATAAATATAGTTAAATTATTAAGTATGGAAAATAAAAAAATTATCTATGAAAAAATATGTTACGTTTTTTTAATTTAAGAAATAGAGTTTATACTGTTAGCTTAAATTTTTCTATATTTTTAAAACTAATAAAAAATTACCATTTGAATAAATTTATAAGAAAATATGATGATGATGAAATTATATATATATATATATATATATATATATATATATATATATATATATATATATAAATAAAGAGGTTTTACACTGTTAATATATGTATTATTTATTTATAAATATATTATATTTAATAATCATTATAATGACTTAGTGAGTATATTTATTAATTTAATACTATATTTAAATTGTGGGATAATTTGAAATCAATAAAACAGTTTTTATCAAATATTTCTCAATTCATCTCATCCTTTAAAAAATTCAAATTTGTTAAATAATAATTTACTGTACAATGTGTACTATTCATGCATGTCTTATTAGGGATAGAGAATTGCCTTGATTTTGAGGAATAAGGGACCTCCTAGAAGAATAGAGAGAGAAAAGGAAAATACTTCTTCTCCTTTTCATCCATTCCTCCCTTATTTAATAATACTCAGTCATCAAATGATTAGCTTTCCGTGGGTTGTGAAAAAATAGAAAGTATCACATACTGAAAAGGGAATCTCTAACGAAAATTACAACTCAGCAAATAAAGAAATACTAAATCACTTAGAGATATTGCTATTTGGTGACATATTCACAAAGGTAAGTGGGTTGCTTGTGTCCTCTTTTGGGTCTCTTTTCCACTGTGCCAAGGGCCCCATCTGCCTTTACAGGGCCATTGCTATCAATACACACTGCTGCGGAAAACACCTTGTCCTCAAGGTTCCCATGTTGTGTCCTCAGGTGGCAGGCCCGTCCACTGAACCAAAACGAGCTTGGTAGGTGGCAAGGAAGAGGAATCCATTTTTGTGTCCAAAATAGCTAGTGGCTTAATGAGTGACATATTTTCTTGTGCAAGCAAAGGGAAGTCGACCGGAGAAGAAGGGAGTGGTTCTTTGTGCAACTTTAGCAAGGAACAGTGAAAGACAGGATGGATTTTGGAACCCTGAGGCAAATCAAGTGGATAGGCAACTGGTGCAATGCGGGCAGAAATGCGGAAGGGACCAAAAAACGCTTGGCCAATTTTGGAGGAGAAGGAGAATGGAGCAAACGTTGTCTGTAGGGTCTCAAGCGCACGTAACCCAATAATCTACCTGGAAAGTGACCTCCCTACGCTGTCGACCTGCAATATTCTTCATGGCCAATTGTGCTTTTACAAGTTTCTTGCGCAATTGAGTCAGGAGATCTTGGTGAGTGGTGAGAGGGAATCTACCGCCTTTACAGCAGAGGTTCCTGTCAAATAGAAGGGAATAGATGGAGGTGGTCTGCCAAAGATAATTTGGAAAGGGGTGGTTCCAGTATTAGAATGAACCGAAGTATTGTAAGACCACTCAGCAAGTGAAATAAACTTTCCCCACTATGAGGGCTGAGAGTGAACGAAGGAACAAAGATATTGTTCCAAGGTACAGTTAAGAACTTCGGTCTGTTTGTCTGTTTTGGGTGGTAAGAAGTGCTCATACGCAGCTTTGTGCCACATAATCAAAACAATTCGTGCCAAAACTTGCTGATAAAGATTGGGTCTCTGTCGGAAACCAAGCTGCGTGGAATACCATGATGCTTGCAAATCATGTCCATGAAAAGTTGTGCAACTTTGAAGGCTGTAAAATGTGCAAGGAGTGTACGAAGTGAGCCCCTTTTGAGAAATGGTCCACAACCACAATTATAACAGTGTGGCCCAAGGAGGGGGGTAACCCCGTAATAAAATCAAGTGAAAGATCCTCCTAAGTATCGCGAGGCAATGGTAAAGGTTGTAAAAGACCAACATGTTTTTGAGTTTCATACTTAGTCTGTTGACAAGTGGTGCATTGAGAGACAAAAGTATGATCACATATTCTTCCAAAAGAAATTGGCCTGAATGCGCACCAAAGTCTTGGAAATCCCCATATGACCACCCAAGGGAGTATTGTGCTATTCCTCCATGAGTAAAGGAATGAAAGGATTGCCATGATTCAACCAAATCCTGCCTTCATACAACAAAAGATCATTATGAATGCTGTAAAGAGGGTATGATGCAGTGTTGGAACGCACCTCTGCCAAGAGAGAGACGTATTCGGGGCTGTCTTGCAGAGATTTGCAGAGCTTGTCCAAGAAAAGAAAATGAGGCATTGATATGATGAAATATTGTCCTGGGACAGTATTAGATGGACGAGAAAGTGCGTTTGCTACCACATTGTGTTTCACTGCTCTATACTGGATAGTGTAGTCATACCCAAGTAATTTGGACAAGTAAACCTACTATTTTGGGGTCTGAATAACTTGAGACATTAAGTCCTTAAGACTACGATGATCTGTGAGTATGACAAAAGGATGACCCAATAGATATTGACGCCACTTCTTAGCAGTGATAGCATGTAACTTGCAGACATATGTAGAAGAACGAAGTAACTTGGGGCAAAAAGGCTTACTAAAGAATGCAATAGGGTGGTTCTGTTGCATCAAAACAACACCCATAGCAGAATCTGATGCGTCAATCTCAAGTTGGAAAGGAAGGTTAAAGTCTGGAAGAGCAAGAATCGGAGCCTGAGTCATAGCCATTTTGAGTTGATCAAAGGTAGATTGAGTAGTAGGACCCCAAAGGAAATTATCACGTTTCAACAAAACATTAAGTGGTTCAGCAATAGAGGCATACCCCTTGATGAATCGACGATAAAACCCTGTCAATCCTAAGAATCCATGCAAAGATTTGATTGAAGTAGGAGTTAGCCACTGAACCATTGCCTCAATTTTGGATGGGTCTGTTGCTACCCCCTCAGCAAAGACAATGTGCCCCAGATATTCGAGTTGTTGTTGGCCAAATATGCACTTAGAACCCTTGAGAAAAAACTGACTCGCAAGCAAGGTCTGAAAGGTTTTCTCTAAATGATAAAGGTGGTCTGCCAAGGTTGTGCTATAAACCAAGATATCATCGAAGAAGACGATGACAAATTTGTGGAGGAAAGGTTTCTATAAGTCATTCATTGTCGCTTGGAAGGTAGAAGGGGCATTGAAGAGACCAAATGGCATGACCCTATACTCGTAGTGACCCATGTGTGTACAGAAGGCAGTCTTGTGAATGTCAGCACCATGCATTTGGATTTGAAGGAAACCCTGTCGAAGGTCTAATTTAGAGAACTACGTTGCACCTAGTTTATCCAAGAGCTCATCGATTGTAGGAAGTGAGAATCTATCCTTCACAAAGATGGAATTAAGAGCTCTAAAATCCACACAAAATCGCCAACTCTCATCCGTCTTTTTGACAAGTAGTACAGGGGAAGAGAAAGGACTATGATTAGGTTGAATCATCCCACTCTAAAGCAACTCATCAATTTGTTTCTCAATCTCACATTTTTGAAAGTGAGGGTATCGGTAGGGACGTACATTGACGGGTGAGGAGTTGGGTAGAAGATGAATATGGTGGTCACTTGGGTGTGGTGGTGGTAAAGAAGTGGGGGTAATAAAAAGAGAGAGGTATTTGTGAAGTAGAGGGGAAATATGAGGATTGGTGTGTGAAGGGGTAGTATTAGTGGTCACTGTTGAAATAGAGGAGGAAGGTAGAACCTGTATATGGAAATAAGCGGCCCCTGAATTAGTCTGAAAAATGCATTTAAGTTGGTGTGCTGAAATGTCTTGAGGCCCAGGTGGGGAATTCACCCTTAATTCAACAAAGTGGCCATCCTTCAAGAAACACATAGACATTTGGGAATAATCAGTAACTATAGGGCCTAATGGCTTATGCCATTGGATGCCGAACACCACATCTGCACCACTAATGGGTAGAACATGCAAGTCCAAAACAAAAACGTGATTCTGAATGGAGACCTGCACATTAGGACACACATGAAGGCATTAAATAACACTACCATTGCCAATCATCACCTGTAAAGGAGGTGTGGGTTATTTGGGCAGATTGAGGAATTTAGCCACACGATCCTGTATGAAATTATGCGTGTTTCCCCCATCAACTAAGATCGTCACTTGCTTCTTAGAGATAAGGCCCAATAGTCAAAGGGCTTCTCGAGAGGGAAGGCTCGATAAGGTGTTGAAACTGATTTGGGCTGAAGAGAGCTCTTGGGGCGCATTCTCAAGGGATAGGGGATCTGGGTCAGGATTCGTCAAGGAAATGGAAGCCTCATCATCAGGAACCTCAACAACTAAGAGAAAGAAGTGAGCCTTGGAACGATGTCCAAGGTGGAACTTTTCGTCACAGTTGTAGCACAACCCTTTCTCTCGACGGGCTAGCATCTCCTCATGGGTGAGTTTCTTGTAATTGGTCTTGAGGGGAGAAGGCAGTAAGGGTGGAGGAGGGCGAGTCGGAGTACCAGAGGGTGTCCAAGAAAAGGGCGGGGCCTTGCAAAACTGCGCAAATCCTGAAACTTATCCTCTTGTAGCTTGGCCAAAACAGCAGCCTGCGTAAAGGTGAGAGGTTGCAATGCCAAAACCTCACGTTTTATCGCAGGTGAGAGTGCAGAAATAAAACAAGAGAAAAGAATGAGGAAGACCAACAACACGACTAGCCAATCGTTCAAACTTAGTAAGGTAATCATTAACAGTACCTTTTTGAGTGAGCTTGAAAAGAAGACCGCGAGGATCTTCATAGTAGGAAGGAGCAAAGCGTGTTTCAAGAGCTTGAAAAAAACTGGGCCAAGACTGAATCATTCCATTCTTGTGCATCCACTGAAACCCGCTGAGAGCGGCACCTTCCATATAGAAGGAAACCATCTTGAGGCGATCTTCATCCGGGGTTGAATGGAATTCAAAAAATTGATTGATCTTGAAGATCCATCCCGTAGCATCATGGCCATCAAATCGTGGGATGTCTAACTTCATGTGAGGCTTGAAGAAAGTGGAAGAGTGGTTAAGTGGTGGGGGGGAAGGAGGGCCGGAGGGGTCAGGTTGAGAAAGCTGGGTGATGATGGAATCGAGCTTAGAGTTAAGCTCGTTCTGAGAGTTGGTGAGGATGATTTGATTTTGGGTGAGGCAGAGGATGACTTCATCGATGGTCTTGAAACGAGTGTTGTGTTCAGCCATGGAAATGAGCTCAATGAAAGCACCAAATTGTTAGGGATAGAGAATTGCCTTGGTTTCGAAGAACAAGGGACCTCCTAGAAGAATAGAGAGAGAAAAGGAAAATACTTCTTCTCCTTTTCATTCATTTCTCCCTATTTAACAATATTCCGCCATCAAATGATTGGCTATCCGAGGGTTGTGAAAAAACAGAAAATATCACATACTGAAAAGGGAATCTCTAACGGAAATTACAACTCAGCAAAAAAAAAAAATACTAAATCACTTAAAAATATTGCTATTTAGTGACATAGTCACAGAGGTAAATGGGTTGCTTGTGTCCTCTTTTGAGCTCTTTTCTACTGTGCTAAGGGCCCATCTGTAGCCATTGCTATCATGTCCCTTTTGCCATTTAATACAATGTAGCAAGACAATAATGATCAGAAGCATATCACGGTAATGTATGCATGGGATTCCTGAGCATGTATATAATTACATTAAAAATGGTTAGAATATTAGGAGTTAAAAGGCACCTTTATTTGAAGCTGGAAATATTTGACATAGTCAATTATATCGTCCAGTATATACGCTTGACTTCCCTACAAAATTAAATTCATTTCACCAAGAAATTGTAAGATTCAGTCTATATGAATGCAGTGGAAGTATATCTCCAAACTGTACAGAAAGTAAAGCTTTCTGGCAATGTTTTATTTTCACTTGTGCATAATGACACTATCTCGACATATTCAAAGTTTAAATATTAAGAACAGTTTATTACCAATTTCTGGTCATTCTATTTGAGTAGGTGATTACAATATCACACTATTAATGATAAATTGACAACATAGTATAGAAAGCTCCTTTTGATTGACTATTGTTTATTCATAAAAAACAGATTACCTCTGCTGGATTTGGAAGCAATTCGTGTAAGGCTTTGAGGTTATCAGCGATACGTTGCCTTCGTTGCTATATAGAAAAGCACATGTGTGAGGAACCCAAGTTGTATTAGAGAAATGGAATATGATAAATTGCCATTACTGTGACCAGTGGCAATTTTCACTTACACGGTCAGTGATACGTGCTTTCTCTTTTGAGGAGCTGGTTCCCGGTTTGGGAAGTAAAGCAGGTGCACCAACCATTACCATTGGATCATGTGAAGCATTATGCTTATCTCCAAGAGAATCTGCTGTCCATGAAGCATGATTCTGTCACAAAATTAGAGTATAAATCATTTCATAAATTTCAGACTCTTCATAATGTTTTAGCAATTGTGTAGGCACAATTTCATGTGATATATGCGTGGTGGAAAGACATTAACCGACCTCTGCATAAAGAAAATTTTGACTGCTTTCAGTTTCAACTTTAATTACTTCCTCTCCTTCATCAGCTCTCCAAAACCCCAGCTGCTAAAAACACATATCAAAGACATAATAAAACCCCACTAAGCTATGATATTTGTTTCTCTAAATTCACTTAAATTGATTTTTATTTTTATTTTTTCTGTTCAAAGAGCTTACCTTCCTAATGTCAAGGTCATTACTTGAAGAACCAATAGGCTTAAAGGCACAGACTTTTCCTGGATCATTATAAAAGAAGTTTCTGTCCGATCCATTAACCACGTTACCATCATTGATGTTGCCGACAGGTAGATAACTACCCCCCATCATGTAATCAGTGGAAGTGTTTGGCAGATAAGTTGAGGATTCTGAAAGATACTCAACATAGTTATGAGATGGTTTAGGAAAGCAAGTCCAGTGGCTCCCATTTCTTCCAGATGATGCTGCAATGACAAATTTTGGGTTTGAAATGAGATGACCCTCAGCTGAATGAGAGACATCATTGGTTGTTCCCCCAGCGTCACAGGATGTTAGTTGCACAGGGTTCTCTTGGTTACTTTGCTCTTCCATCACTAACACATTAGACAAAAATGGGACATAAATAGAATTTTATCATCTACAAGAAAACAATATACTTAACTAAAAAGATGGTCAAAGAAAGAACTTCCTCACCACAAACTGAAGAGGAGCAAGAAAAAGGGTAGCAAAGAACGTGTCGAGATTGCAGTGTTTTCGCAGCCAAAGCAACAACGATTTCGATTTTGTGAGAAAATAAAAAAAGGAAGATACTTTAGAAATGAAGAGGAGAAAGGGTAACCGACGTAGGGTTTTCAGTGAGAAAGTGAGCGTGCTCTGTTTCTGCTCTGCTTGTTGATGTTCTGTCATTGCCGGCTACGTACGTCCGCAAGGTGCATTGCGCAGTGCTGCCAATAGTACCGTGATTCCGGTTACGTTGTTTGTTACAATGAAATACCGAATTTACCCTCAAATATTTTTTAAATGGTTACCATTTAAGACTAGATCTGTGGATTAGATTGAAGAGAAGATACCAGGGATAGAAAAGGAAATAAACCAAAAAAAGAAGAATTTGAATTACATAAAAAGAAAAATAAATAAATGAAAATTTCATAATTAATTAAATAAAAATATATAATAATTAGGTAATATTGTAAATGTTTAGAATACTCATCGTGCACTGGAAACTAATTGTGTCCCAATTGTGAGAAAATATCCTACAAGATGTGGCCAATCTCAATGCATAATTAAATATTATTAACTTGAAAAATTAAATATTATTAATTATTTCATTTTAATTTTAAAAACTCAAATACGTATAAGACTACCTAATAATTCTTCTCTGATTTCATTGAGAAAATCGAACAACGTTTTTGCTTGCATTCTCATTTCCTTTGGTCTTTCTTCATCCAATAAAAAGTTCACTAGTCCTAACAAAGATACATAGAGGTCATAGGGAAATAAAAATAAAATTAAACAATTTAAATTTTCCAAAACAATTCATATTTTACCCCTTCAACACATTTAAACAATTCTAATTTTCTGGAATGATTATTCGAAAAAAATATTTAATCCTATTTTCAAATGTTTTTTGACATTTTTATTTTTCAAATTATGTATTCTGAGACACTCTTCTTCACCTCCTTGTAATTAGAAAGATGTTTTTGTCAATGAAATATATTCATGGGGTGAAGGAAGAAAATATGAGGTGCAGGAAGAGAACCAAATCTAAAATTTAGCCCAATGCCATTGATGGCATGCCTGGGCTCGTCCGGTCCATTACATGCACTCTCGAAGGACACCGTCGTCATCAAGTGAGGCATCAAATATGAGAATACGAGAAGCACAAGAAGAATATTCCTTCGTTTAGTCTAAATTTATCATATTCAAGCTTTGTGTTTGTGAATCTCTGATTATCTCATATCTATTCCTGAGCTGATCCATTTCTTTTAATCTCTCTCTTCAATCCCATTTCCTAGATCTGCTTGCTTCTTCCATCGTCAACTAATCATGGTTCTTCACAGAGAACTCGAACATTTCTTTTCATCCCCATTCAGCGACCCTCCCAAAGGTAACTCTTTTATTTTTTAGAAACGAAATAAATTGCTGCTATTTTCCTTTTTTCAAAATTGCGTGCTCTTGGAGATGGCCTTGAGCTTATTTGGTTTTAATGATTTCACAGCCCTGTTCTTCCCTTTTACTAGTGGTGTGAACAGGCCCTCCTTTGGTGTGCCAGTTTCCAACACTTCCAAGTTCCCCACTGCTTACCTCACATAGCGGTGCCGTGCTTCTGATTGTGCCTCAGCGACTAGTTCAAGTTCAAGGTATGTTCTGCAAAACCAAAACCCACACTCTTCTCTACCTTAACAACGCAAGATCTATATCAAGTCTCAAAGTAGTGTGGCGCAAGGACCCAACACTCGACCGAGCTATAGAGCACGACAAGCGTTACAAGCAATGTGCCCGCGTCGTCAAGGAAGTCCTCAACGAACCAGGCCAAGTCATCCCTCTCCGCTACCTCGAAAAGCGCCGCGAAAGGATGCGCCTCAAGGTCAAAGCAGAAACCTTTCTCAACCAAAACCCCGGCTTGTTCGATGTCTACTATGACCGCATCAAACCCAAAACCGAACCGGTCCGGTTCATCCGCCCCACCGACCGCCTTCGCCGTTTTCTCCAGGAAGAACAACGGATTTTCTCCGAGAACGAACCCTTCATTGTCTCAAAGTTGTGTAAATTGTTAATGATGTCCAAGAACAAGGTTGTTAGTGCTGATAAGTTGCTTCACGTGAAGAGGGAGTTCGGGTTCCCTAACGATTTTTTGGTTGATTTGGTTCCCCGGTATCCGCAATATTTTAGGTTAACTGGGTCTCCTGGGGAGGGGAAATCGTTTCTTGAATTGGTTAATTGGAATCCCGAGTTTGCAAAATCTGTTATTGAGGTGAGGGCTGATGAGGAGAGTGAGCGTTTGGGAATTAAGGTTAGGCCTAGTTTCAATGTGGAGCTTCCAGCAGGGTTTGTGTTGAAGAAGGAGATGAGGGAGTGGGTTAGGGATTGGATGGAGCTTGATTATGTGTCTCCTTACGAGGATGTGTCCCATTTAGACCAGGCTTCTAGAGAGATGGAGAAGAGGTCCGTTGGAGTGTTCCACGAACTGCTTTCTCTTTCCTTGCATAAGAGGATTCCTGTGCCGATCCTTGGAAAGTTTTGTGACGAGTATAGGTTTTCCAATGCGTTTTCCAGCACTTTTACAAGGCATTCGGGGATATTCTATTTGTCCTTGAAAGGTGGGATTGAAACGGCAGTGTTGAGAGAAGCATACAGAGGTGAGGAGTTGGTTGACCGCGATTCGTTGCTTCAGATAAAAGATAAGTTTGTTGAGTTGTTGGAGGAGGGGTGGCGGCAAAGAGTGGAGCAATTGAGGTTGAAGCAGGAGAAGATTAAGGAAGATATGGAGCTATTGGTCACCAAAGTTTGTGATTGAATGTGTAAAACAGGTGTGTTGATACGAAGAGCTTTCAATTTTGTAAGATTTTTGTGAGGAAAAAGCTTGATTGTTGTTGGCTAGTACAATCCTCCTCACTTGGTATGATTGTTAGTTAGTCTTAACGTGCATGAATTGTTAAAGAAAATTGAATGGTTACCTCTTAGGACTCTGTTATTGAAAGATGCTACAGTGAAAAGTTTTTGGCTTAATAATATATCAAGGGATCATTTTTCCCTCCATGTTTGTGTTGTTGTTTGTTTAAATAATGTTCCCTTTTACTTCAGATCTTGGTTCTCAGTCAACAAAATATCAGAATCAGAAATCAAAGTATTGTATTGTTTTCCTTGAAATATTTTGATTTCAACTTAAAAATATTCTTTGAAAATGTTGAAGATGAGTGTTTTCAGTATGTTCCATCTTTGTTAATAAGCATTTATGTTGCTTGGGCTACTTAACAATCAATTTTACTGGCATCAATACGTGAGTTTGTCAATTTTAATCGAGCTCATTTGCAGACTCTGAAAGACAGCTCACTTCCCTCTATGGTTCAGCCCATGGCTGCCCCTAGACATAGCCAACCTATCAATGATGCAGTGCACCATCAAGTCCCTGATTATAGAGAGATGCACATGCCAGAATCTACTTGCTCTTTCAACAGTTTTCCTGTAACTCTCCTCCAGACAATTTTGGACATACTGATGGTGTTGCTATGCGTAATAAGGGGTACTCTATTCGGCCTCCCCAACATGTACCGTCCAATCAGTTTTCTTTTGTTAATGGGGAACGACATGTGAATCATCGAAGGGAAGTTCCACCACCCCCTCCTTACTCCAGTAGACAACACTTTGCGCAGAACATGGAGAGCGAGAACTTCTATAATAATCATGAGAGAATAAGACCACCTTACCAAGAGAGATGGAATGTTCCTGTGCCCTATCCCGGTAAGATTGGGATAGCTGATGATTCTTGTGATATTTGTCATGTATATTCATATTAAGTCCTGAATCAATCATTTCAAACCCAAAATTTGTCATTGCAGCATCATCTGGAAGAAATGGGAGCCACTGGACTTACTTTCCTAAACCATCTCATAACTATGTTGAGTATCTTTCAGAATCCTCAACTTATCTGCCAAACACTTCCACTGATTACATGATGGGGGTAGTTATCTACCTGTCGGCAACATCAATGATGGTAACGTGGTTGATGGATCGGACAGAAACTTCTTTTATAATGATCCAGGAAAAGTCTGTGCCTTGAATTGGTTCTTCAAGTAATGACCTTGACATTAGGAAGGTAAGCTCTTTGAACAGAAAAAATAAAAATAAAAATCAATTTAAGTGAATTTAGTGAAACGAATATCATAGCTTAGTGGGGTTTTATTATGTCTTTGTTATGTGTTTTTAGCAGGTGGGGTTTTGGAGAGTTGACGAAGGAGAGGAAGTAATTAAAGTTGAAACTGAAAGCAGTCAAAATTTTCTTTATGCAGAGGTCGGTTAATGTCTTTCCACCAGCATATATCACATGAAATTGTGCCTATACAATTGCTAAAACATTATGAAGATTCTGAAATTTATGAAATGATTTATACTCTGTTAGGAACCAAGAATTAAACAGAAAAATAAAAGAAAGTTTCTTTATTGAATAGAATGAAAAGAACAAGAAATAGGAGAAGACTCTCCTCCAAGGGTTTCCCCTTCACAAAGGATTTCTCCTTTTACAAAGAGCTAATGCTCAATTTACAAAGAATATCCACACCCTTCTCCTATCCTTCACACTCTATTTATATCTAAACAACACCTTATGCAATTAACTAACTTATTAATATGCTAACTATCTTCCTAACTTCTCCTTCCCTTTATACCCTAACAATACACCCTGTCTAAAAAATCAACCTTGTCCTCAAGGTTGTGTAGTAGAAACTTGATCCCATTGCTTATTCTTATTACCATGATCTTCATTTACCCTTTCTGTCTACATGTGATATCTTTTTTTTTGGTATAGGAATGAGGACCAGGGGCTAATGCATTCAAATTCAGATCAGGTGGCTTGGGTGGTGGTGGTGGAAATGAGAGTGGATTTTTTATAATAGCTTTCAAACCCACCTTAGAAAAAAATTTGGCTCCATGTAGTTCATCAATTAATTCCTCAATTACTGGAATGGGGAATTTATCTGCAACCGTGGCCTTATTGAGAGCCCTATAGTCAATACAAAATCTCCAACTTCCATCCTTTTTTTTGACTAATATCACTGGGCTGGAGAATGGGCTGTTACTGGGCCTAATGATACCCATCTTCAACATCTCTGCCACTTGTCTTTCTATTTCAGCCTTTAAAAAATGTGGGTACCTATAAGGTCTGACATTGACAGTATTTTCACCTTCTTTAATGGGGATTCTATGGTCTACTGGTCGTTGGGGAGGAAGCCCAGAAACATCCTGAAATAACTCACTGAATTCTTCTAAAATACCCTCCAACTCATTTGTCTGTCCAGTGGTTAAAACTGTTTCTCCCTTTTTACTGCTGGCCCCACCTGCTGTCATTTCCCAGAGTATAGTTATGGCCTCTATATCTGTCTCCTTTATCAAAGCCTGCGGAGAAATCAATTTTTTGGTAAGGGTAGGGTCACCTCTTATCTCAACTTGTTGTCCTTCCCACTCAAAATTCATGGTTAACGATTTCCAATTAACTTTCACTTCTCCCAAAGTTGCCAACCATGCTATCCCCAATATCAAGTCTACTCCACCTAACTCAAAAAGGAAAAAGGTTTCCTGCACTTCATAATTACTTAGGCTCACTTTAATATCCTTGCAGCACCCACTGGTTAACTTCTTTTGCCCATCCCCAAGTTTCACACAATAAGGCCTCGTCTCTTCCACTTGCAGACCTAGTTCTGCCACTAAACTTGAAGTAACAAAATTGTGACTAGCCCCACTATCAATCAGGATCAGCACCTTTCTCCCTTTAATCCACCCCGACAGTTTCATGGTGTTTGTTGGTGTTAACCCTCCAGCTGAAAACAAAGAAAGCTCCATCCTTTTATGTTCCATCTCTACTTTTTCTTCGTCCTCTTCTTCTTCATCTTCTGCCATGATGATTACTCTTAAATTTTTTTCTGGGCACCTATGACCTGGACTGTAAGGGCCCCCACAATGAAAACACCTTCCTTCCTCCCTTCTTCGTATATGTTCAGGATATGGCAGATTCTTCACTCCTCTTGTTCTAACCTCCCCTATAGAAGTATTTCCTACCTTGGACCCCCATGAAATATCCCCTGTCCCCTTCCTGGCAGTACTGTTATTACTGGGCACTCCTTGGGAAGAACCAGATCCTTTAAAGGTCTCGGTTCTTGATATCTTGCTCGTTCCTCCTTGATAACGGAATCCAGAAGTTTTGTTCTGGTACACATTTCCTCCTCCTCCACTTGTTTCTTTCATGACATCTTCAACATCTCTTGGTACCTCCATAGCTCTTAACAAATCCTTTGGGTCGTGAGGCATGATTTGTTTTCGAATTTCAGTTCTTAGTCCTGCCAAAAAATATCCAAGAAGTTGGTCTTCCTCCATAGCTGGGATCTGAGACACTAAAATTTCAAATTCCTGAGTATATTCTTCCACACTTCCTCCTTGTTTAATGGCTGCCAATCTCTCAAAGATTGTACTTCGTTCCTTTCCTCCAAACCTTCTATTCAAAGCCACAGTGAATTCTTCCCAAGAAAGATTCTTGGTTTTTTGTTTCCAAAATCTGAACCAATGATTCGCATTCCCTTCCATGCTGATAAAAGCCAGACGCAATTTCTCTCTTGGGTTGATCTTTTGAATCTCAAAAAATTTTTCCGCCCTTCCAATCCACCCCACAGGGTCAGTTCCTTCAAACACAGGTAGATCCACCCTCTTCACCCACTGTCTCTACACTACTTCTTCTTCCTCAGAATCTTCTTGCTCCAATCGTCCTCCTATCCCCCCTTGTACCGAATTTTCACTCTTCTCAGATTCTTTGTCACTTTTCTTGAAATTCTTGAGTAAATCTTTCATTTCTTGAATGGCATTTCTCATCTCTGTATTCACTTTTTCCTGTTCACTAGTCCATCGTTCAGCCCACCTTTCCAGCACTCCTACTCTTCCCTCCATGGCTCCTTGATTTTGGATCCGGCAGGTCGGACCAATTGTTAGGAACCAAGAATTAAACAGAAAAATAAAAGAAAGTTTCTTTATTGAATAGAATGAAAAGAACAAGAAATAGGAGAAGACTCATCTCCAAGGGTTTCCCCTTCACAAAGGATTTCTCCTTTTACAAAGAGCTAATGCTCAATTTACAAAGAATATCCACACCCTTCTCCTATCCTTCACACTCTATTTATATCTAAACAACACCTTATGCAATTAACTAACTTATTAATATGCTAACTATCTTCCTAACTTCTCCTTCCCTTTATACCCTAACATACTCTAATTTTGTGACAGAATCATGCTTCATGGACAGCAGATTCTCTTGGAGATAAGCATAATGCTTCACATGATCCAATGGTAATGGTTGGTGCACCTGCTTTACTTCCCATACCGGGAACCAGCTCCTCAAAAGAGAAAGCACGTATCACTGACCGTGTAAGCGAAAATTGCCACTGGTCACAGTAATGACAATTTATCATATTCCATTTCTCTATTACAACTTGGGTTCCTCACACATGTGCTTTTCTATATAGCAACGAAGGCAACGTATCGCTGATAACCTCAAAGCCTTACACGAATTGCTTCCAAATTCAGCAGAGGTAATCTGTTTTTTATGAATAAACAATAGTCAATCAAAAGGAGCTTTCTATACTATGTTGTCAATTTATCATTAATAGTGTGATATTGTGATCACCTACTCAAATAGAATGACCAGAAATTGGTAATAAACTGTTCTTAATGTTTAAACTTTGAATATGTCGAGATAGTGTCATTATGCACAAGTGAAAATAAAACATTGCCAGAAAGCTTTACTTTCTGTACAGTTTTGAGATATACTTCCACTGCATTCATATAGACTGAATCTTACAATTACTTGGTGAAATGAATTTAATTTTGTAGGGAAGTCAAGCGTATATACTGGACGATATAATTGACTATATCAAATATTTACAGCTTCAAATAAAGGTACCTTTTAACTCCTAATATTCTAACCATTTTTAATGTAATTATATACATGCTCAGGAATCTCATGCATACATTGCCGTGATATGCTTCTGATCATTATTGTCTTGCTACATTGTATTAAATGGCATAAGGGACATGCATGAATAATACACGTTGTCCAATAAGTTGGAACTAGATAGAGGATCTACATCTACTATAACTAAGGAGATTGTTCCTTGCAGGAACAAAGTGGAAGTAGATTGCAAACGGAATCAACTGCTATACCACTAGTTTTTTATGAGGTATACAGTTTATAGTTGATATCAGTAGATACACAGAATCACTGTGAATTCATTCCTCATATGAGAGTCAAATATTACAGGGTTATGGGCACTATATCAACCAACAGATGCTGAATGAACCCCTTGAGGAGAGATAATGGGGAAACTACTTGAAGAACATTCAGCAGCAGCTGGTCAGCTACTAGAGAGTAAGGGTCTATTCCTGCTGCCTATGGCTTTGGTTGATGAGTTGAGTGAGGCTATGCAAAGGTTTGTGGGGAGTGCACTTGTCTGATAGAAGCTTTCTCTTATATTAGTTCTCCATTATGGTTCATTTCTACTAGACAGTAGCTGTAGTATGATTATTATCTCTGTTTGTGTTACACTAACATTTATGTCTTTTCCAAACATCCAAAATTTCTCCATACTCATTATCCTATGAAAAGCCTTTGATGATTGTGGGGCAATTTCTTTCATGCCCACACAGATATTATTTTAAGTTAGATGGATAAAAAATCAAAATATTCATATTTAATCCATTTTTTTCATATTAAGTCTATTTTAATACAAATGTCAAATTTATATTCATGTTTTTAAAATTTTAAATTTAATCTAGTTAGTTGGGTTTACATTGCTTATTTTTATAATTTTAAAAATTTCAAAAATCAATATTCATCTTTTCAAGATAAATCGATAGAAATTCATAAATCAGCAAGTCAATAGAAATAAATTCAGTGCCTTCTTGTCAATCAATTACATCATATTCGTACTCGTGGATATTTGTCTAATAATCTTACGTAAATGGTCGGAAATTATTAGATTTTGAGAAACAACTGTTCAATTTTTTTTTCAAGTTTTCTTAAAAAATGTTAAAAATAAGATATTGTTATCTCGAAATTAGATAAAAACAAAAGACTTTTCTTAACATGCAGCAAATTCTTAAGAAAAACATTATTTATTTCATCCATTTCAAAATTAACCCCATTTGAGATTTTTGCACTCTTCGAAAAGTAGAAGAGTTCGCACGCGGTAACTTTAACTTACATAGAACATAATTTCATTTAAATATATTTCGGTAAAATAAAATAATAATAATAATAATAATAATAATAATAATAATAATAATAATAATATTAATAATAATAATAATTAAAAAAGATGAAATTACATTTATTTCCCAAAATAACACTCTCACCTCTTATTCTATATATAAGATACGTACCATTTGTTATCGAGGCGGATCTTAAACATTAATCTTGAGGGGACCAAATAATATATTATTAATAAATAATAAATAAATAAATATAAAATGAAGAAAGAAGATGAAAATGTGAAAATATAAAATTGTAAATATATACTTAAATATATTAAATGATCATTAAGTTTGAAGGAGATAAAATCATAAATTATATGAGAGTTACAAAGCGAGGAGAGTTTGAAAGGATAAAATTATAAATATACAAGTAAATATATTAAATGTTCATTAAGTTTGGGGGTCAAAATCATAAATTACAGGGGAGTTACAAAACTTTGCGTGGATGACGACCCCCTTAAGCTCCCAAGAACATCCGTCACTTGTTACTATATACGTTTAATAAAATAAAATTCAATTCACACTAATTTTTAAATAAACATAACTTCTTTATGATTTTAATAAATAACATTCATCTCTTATTTTATTTAAAAATAACATATTCAATAAAACATATCAATTTTATAAATAATATATTTTAAACAAAAAAATTCAAATATAATCTTTATAAAGTTTTTAATCCGATTTTTCTCTCCTCATAAGTTTTGTTTTTATTTCTATCTTTTCTTCACATTGACTTTGTATTCTTCTCTATTCTCTCAATTATTCTTCTAATTACAAAAATTATACTAAAATATAATAAACTAAATTTTTTAAAATTAATATTAAAATTAAAAAATATCAATTATTTAAAATTCTAATAATAGTAAATAATTTTATTTCTGATGAAAATAGATTTAAAACTATTTTATCATAACAAATTAATCACTTATCTAATTAAAAAATATTAAATATTTACCATGATTAGTCAAATTAAGTAATTTAAAAAAATATTTAATAAAAAATTACTTTAAAATAAATATGTTAATTTTTTTAATAACTATAACATAACAAAAATATCTGTAATACCTCAAAATTTATCAATTAAATTATAGTATTTATTGAGAAATTTAAATATTTTTATTTTTTAAAAATAATAAAAGATCTATTTTATCAAATTTCAATGTAGTATTTTTAATTAGAAGAATAAGATAGAGTGACACAAGAATAAAAGAGAGGAAAATGGAAAAGTAAAAAAAGAACAATGAATAAGGAGAAAAAAAAATTGAGGAGTAAATGAAAAGGGAGAAAAAAAAGTAAATGAGAAAAAGAGAAAATTAAGAAAAGAAATGAGAAAAGAGAAAAAGATAAAGATTTTTGTAGTATTTTTTTAAAAAAACTATCAATATAAATAAATTTCAAACAATTATGAATTTATGTAAGTGAAAATACGATTTCAGAAATCGTACTTTATACCATGATTTGATTTTTTTTTAATTTAGGAAGAAATAGTAATATTTAGGACTATTTATATAATTATATTATAATAATAATCATTATATTATTATAATTAATAATAATATTTTATATTATCAAAAAAATAATAATTCAATTTATATTATTATTTTTATTATTAAAATTAATAATTATTTAATTATTAACAAAATTAAAATAATATAATTATAATTATTAATATTGTTATTGTATTATTAATTATATTAATAATATACATATTTTTATTTTTATTATTAATTATAATAATAATAATTAAATTATATAATAAAAAATTGTTGTTATTATCTATAATAATAAAATAATATAATAATTAATAATATTATTATTTTTTATATTAAAATAATACTTTCTCGAAATATAACTTTTAATATTTTTGAAAATAATTTATAATTTTAGTGACAATATAATTTTTATGATATTTTTTAATATACAAATAATTCAACCATGTAGTTTAAAAAAATATATTTAATTTTTCTTTAAAAGTTTAATTTTAATTTCATAAGTTTTTATTTAAGTGGTAGATAATATGATATTTTTAATTTGGATAAGATAGAAGAATATAATTTTATTAAAATACGAGAAATATGTGTGGTTTATTAAAATATAAAATAAACAATTTTTTAATTAAAAGGATGTGAGTATCATTTTATTAAAAACATAAAGAACATTAAATTTAAAGAATCAATCCTCAAGTGTAGGACCATCATCACTCTGTTAAGCATTATAATAATAAAAAAAGCTCAACATATATATTTGTTCTTACTGCTATTATTTAATTCGCTCATTTTAACAATTATACTTTTAAACTTAGACAAAATGTGTTGTATTTTACTAAAAAAAAAAAAGGTCTGCATTTTTTTTTAATTAGAGTTAACAGAAAATTCATTCATCTAAGCAATAAAAATAGTATCCTTAGGAAAACAATAAAAAGAGTTATACTCATTATTAAAGTGAAATATTGAATATTATGAATACATGTATTATAGTATTTAAAATAATCATATATTTACTAGTATTTGAATATATACTTACATTGACAATTTGATAATCGAATATGTACTGCATCTAATAATTACGTACCGCACTAAGAAACAAACAACGACACTCCCGGAACCTATACAATATCACTCCAAACTAACTCTGAATATATATGTCTTTATCGATTTAGTAACCGATCAAGATTTTAAAAACATTGGAATTTTATTGATGTTTAATAATATTGTTTTCATCTTTATCAAGGATATACTCGTTAAATAGAGAAAAAAAAATTTAAAGAAATTTTGGAAAGACAAAAATTTTAGAAAGGAGAAACTTTGGTAAAAGAAGTTGTGGGAGAGTTTAGTAGGGACGCTAATAGAAAGAAAAACTTGAAGACACACATTACATTGAGGAAAAAAAATTTGACTCAAAATGCTATTGTAATAAGAATTTTCAAATTATTATTTTTATTATTAATTTTTATTTTATTTTTTACTTTGAATTGTCTATATATCAGTAGATATTTTTAGACCTAAAATTGGATGTAAAGGAATAAGAATCCGTTTTTGGGTTTTTGGATGGGAGAAAGTACCTTTCGTAACCGAGTTTGATGAATTAGCAAAACGATCACCCTGCACTGTTGTTGCAAGAATCTAACGCTAATGTGTAGGGGAGAATAACAAGTGATTGGAATGGAAGTTGAATTTTGGAGAATAAATAGGGTTTATGGCAGGGAAAATGACGCTTCACACTAATTTGTATGGATCAATTCGAACACGGATCCATGCAATTATCGTGTGCGAATCTGAAGCCATATTGCCATGGCCAACCTTCGTTCTCATGCATAAAACTAAGAGCAGAGTCAGTGTCAATGATGAAAGTAAACCCAGTACTTTCCTTACACTTCATATCAGCAAAAATACCCTTTGCTTAGGTCATGCTTCCACTTCACATCACCATTTCCATGCTATCTATGCAAGATTGCAACATATATATATATATATATATATATATATATATATATATATATATATATATATATATATATATATATATGGGCCACTAATTAACCTATTTTTGGTCACTATGAGAAACACATGCGCATGAATCACGGAGGACATTTTCGCCACTAATAAGAGAAAAAAATATTTACTTAAATATTGTAATATTTACTAATAGTACTAACTAAAAAGGAATATTCACGAAGTAAACAAAGTTGAAGCGAATACATATACTTTTTTTATTGAATTTTTTTATACACATTGAACCTTATAACCATATATCTCTAGTTGAATTCTTACGCACCTTATCATTTAAAATGCATTCTTTTTATCACACGAATGTTTGAATGGAAAAAGGTTCTCACATCCAATATGAATGAACTCGACCTGTGTTTTGATTTACTATTATTAGTCATATTTGTATAACACCTACATGTTCATGAAATACTACTCTCTTGAAGAGCTGATAGAAAAGTAGTTATTATTTTATCAAAATATAAACTAATCTAAATCCAACCAAGAGTTGTGCATAAGTTCATTTATAAATACATTGTGCCCATCAAAATATGATGTCTTTATAGTAAAGTAAGAGAGCTGTTAACCCTATTGTGAGACAAGATGAGTGGAAAAGCTGGTCTAGCCACTGAAGGGTAGCTACCTCTTAGCAGAATAGACCCAGATGCATATATAGACAAAATTGAAAACAAACAAAAAATAGGGAATAATAAGAAAGACCTTATCGTACAAATATTCTTTATGCAATTTGGCGCTATATAACCCACTAAGGATAGAACCTACCGTGCCCACTGGTTTAGCAGAAACAAGATGACTTTGAAGAACTTCTTTGAGCTTTCAGTGGACCATTAACATTTCCATATGGCATAAAGTTAATATAAATATTGGCAAAATATTTGACGACACCAAGTTGACAATCAATAATTCATGTACTACTTTATATTCACCAACAGAGAAGCAGAGAGTGACACTTTTGACCTCTTCCCATTTTGTCTACGCTATAAATACTCCACGCACCCCTCTTTCATTCTCAATTCACCTCTTCCTTCGTATTGTATAATCAATCACCTCACCAAATATATACACCCGTCCCAACTTGTCTTAGCAGAAGTATTTCTTTGGAAAGTCACGATGACCATCTCTATGTTCATGTGCAGATTAAGACAACCCATGATAAACATTCCTTGCAGTGGGAAAAAATTGAACGTGAGGCAAATTGAGAAAGAGAAAGTAGTGGTTGTAATGGGAGCCACAGGGACAGGGAAGTCAAGGCTGTCCATTGACCTAGCCACATGTTTTCCATCAGAAATCATAAACTCCGACAAAATTCAAGTCTACCAAGGTCTCGACATAGTCACAAACAAAATCCCAGAGGAGGACCAACGTGGAGTTCCGCACCACTTACTAGGAACAATAAACCCCAACCTAGACTTCACTCACAGTGATTTCATTGAAACCTCATCATCTGCCATTGACACCATCACCAGTCGCCAGAAGCTTCCAATCATCGTTGGCGGCTCCAACTCGTACCTCGAGGCCTTGATCGACTACGCCGACTACAAGTTCCGGTCGCGCTACGATTTTCTCTGCCTCTGGGTTGACGTGGCAATGCCCGTGCTTCAATCCTACGTGGCGGAACGGGTTGACGACATGTTACGTAACGGAATGGTGGATGAGCTGAGACCCTTTTACGGTCCCGACGGGGATTACTCGAGAGGGGTTAGAAGAGCCATTGGGGTTCCTGAATTCGACGAGTATTTTCGGAGGGAGGAGTTTGTCGAAGAGGAAACGAAGCAGAGGTTGTTGGAACATGCGATTAAGGAAATTAAATCAAACACATGCAAGCTTGCGATGAAACAGTTAGGGAAGATTCACCGGCTGAGGAACGTCAAGAGATGGGAGATTCATCGCTTGGACGCCACGCCCGTGTTTCGAAGGCGTGGCGAAGAAGCGAACCAGGCATGGAAGGAGATGGTGGCGGAACCTAGTGCTATGGTTGTTGCGCGTTTTCTCTATAATTCCAAAAATAATGTCAACCTTGTTTCTGGGCACAGAGTGTTGCCAGCTTCAGACAGTGTTATGGCTGCTGCAACGTGCTAATTCTCAGGTGTGGTTTTGTTCAGCCAAGACTTGTGCTTTTTTGTTCAGTTTGGGGGGAAGAACTTGTAATCATTGTGAGGAGTAAATTGTCAGCCACTGATTGATGTACAAGCGAATCATCTTGTCTCCTTCGTTTTATATATGGGAGTGTGTAACTGCAATTTTGACATTTTATAATGAGTATTTGTTAACCTTTGTTCATATTGAATTTTGTGAAGGTTTGTTATATTAATACTAAAAATAATTCACATAATAAAATAAAATGGTTAATGATAAAAATACAAAGTTCAAATCAAATTTCTTATAAAATAACCTGCGATAGTATGAGTTGAATCTTCAGGTAGAATAAAAATAATAAAATTAAATAATATATTTACGAAAACTTAAAAATAAATGCATTTTAAATTTAAAAAAAGTGTTATAATAATATTGATATAAATGAAAATTAATAACAAACCATGAAACACTTCTGGCTACGGTATTTTCCAAACCCGTCATGCTCCTTAACACAAGGGCCATGTAGTTACTGGTAGGGGACACAAGTATAAGAGGTAGGGGACACACGTATAAGAGGTAGGGGACACACGTACGGGTGTCAATGCTAATATTAAGAGGCAACCTAATTCACTTTTATTTTAATAATTTTCTCTATTAACATAATTTGGTAGAAGTGGTAGCAATTTAAGAAAAAAAAAAAATTCTTTTACCCATATTCTTTCTAAATTATTTATGCAAATATATTCTATCAGTCTAAATATCTTTGCTACTCGTCACTATACCAAATGTTTTCTATGAACTTATCTTGGGTTGACCATTAGGGTATTACCATCCATTATTTAAACGAAAACTTCCAAATTTCACAACTCATTGTACTTATTCGCATATTATACATAAGAAAATGTGTTATGTTGTTTAATACGTTGTTAAATTATTAATTATAATTAAATAATTCAATATAAATATAATAATTTTTGTCAGTCTTAATTAATGAAGAGAGAGTTGAAAAAATTAAAATAATCAAAAGTATGTTTTTTAAAATATAAAAAATTCAATTTATTTTAATAAAAAATTAACTCCAGATTGCCATTTAATAGGAGGGGCAATGATTTTTAGCATGTCATGAGTACGACAGATTTGACATCTCAAAAATGAAACCACCCAAAATTGATCGTAACTTGTAAGATCGATTTTAATTATGACAATCATAATAAACATGTAATATGGTCATATATATATATGTATATATATATATATATGTATATATATATATATATATGTATATATATATATATTTATTGGAGCGTCTTTGAGATATGTCTGCGTGTGGAGACTATGTACCGTTAAAAACGAACCCTTTCAATCCATTAAATAAAACTTCTTCCTCGCCAATCACATCGCATCCGTACTCTTCCTTAGCATCTTCTCCATCAAATCACACAAATCGCCGCTCTTTCCGTACCATTTTTCGCACGTGTCATGTGTCCCAGGAAATCTTTATTTACCTAAAATTTAGGTTTTATTTTTCAATTAAATTGGTAAAATCAGAGTATCATTTCAATAATCTATTTGTGCATTTAAATTCCGAATTTCAAGGAGACTGAATCTTAAGATGACACTTGCAAAGTGAATTTTTCGAAAACTTCATATTGTTTCGCATAAAATAAAAAGTGATTTTCTTTCCCAACCTTTTTTTTTCAATATTTTAAAAATAGAAAATATTATAAAAAAAGTGAACATTTTACAATTACAAAGAAGAAACATATATAATGAAACCTTAGTTTTGGGTTAAAATATTTTCTGACCTAATATTTGAGTCCTTTAGATACCTACCAGTCGAATATATGTATTTTGTAAGTGTGTGAGATGAGATATGATTTTTTGTTAGCTTTAATGGAACAAAAGGAGCATGATATGATTTTCTTTTGGAACAATATTGAATAAATGCTTCTATATGTTGTTCCTCCTAGATATTGCTTTTTTCTTTCTTTCCCTGTTGATATGCTTCTTTAGCTCGGCATTTTGTCAAAACAGTAGTCCCACTAAGCCATGCATTTTGTTTTGCAAATGAATATTGAATAATATATATACATATATATATATATATATATATATATATATATATATATATGTTTTACTGTGGAATTTCGATCGATTTCGTTTCCTGAGATATTTTGATCCTAATCAAAATTCTACCACGTAAGTTCTTTTTACTTAGGCTATGCATCCGGCTTTAAATCGACAACGTATATGAGAATCGAAAGTCACAGAATATCAAATGCTATTTTTTAGTATTTTATATTTAAAATACCGAAAGCAATAAAAGTATCGAATCGAGAAACGAAATATTAATTTGCGAGGAACTCTAAAGTGCGAAAACCCCAAATTTGCATTAATTGTAAATGACAAGAAATCGAAAACAGCGCAAATATAAATGACAAGAAATCGAAAATAGCGCAAATATAAATGACAAGAAATCGAAAATAGTGCAAATATAAATGACAAGAAATCGAGATTTGCAGAATGTTAACAGGAAATCGTAAATACAGAAACTTAAACTTTCATTGAATTGAAATGACAAGGAATCGAAAATACAGAAAAAACTGCTGAATGTAAATTGCATCAAAGTAAATTACCAAGGAAAATACAGAAAGCGATAAAGGTACTCCGTGAGCATGGAAATCCAGATTGCCAGGAGCTTCATGGTGTTCGTCGTTTCTCCGGTAGACTTTCTCACTACTGATCCTGTTCTCTGCCAATTTCTGCCCCCCTATTTCTTCCTTCTTTGCTCTATTTATAGTGCATCGTTCAAGTCTTCCAAGAGCAGTTAACACGACTGCTACCACGTTCTATGTGCATATGGCGGTTTATCTCCTACGGTTTTCCACGTTCTCACGATCTTTGATTTCCTCCATAGTTTAGAAACTGCTCTCTATCCGTGCGTTTGACTTACTCTTCTCTTTATGGTTTGACCAAGGTTTTCGATGTCCATGTAGGTTAGCTTTCTTCATTTTCAATTTTACACTTTCGAGAACTTCGAATTGCTTACGATTCCTTTTCAACCTTAACGTCTTATCATTCTAGTTTCTTAGGTTTCGACAATAGGCATTTGACTATCGTTCCTTCGATTCTCGATTGTACTTATCGATGTTATGTGTTACGTGCTTTAGACATCGAATGGTTTTTTATCAGTCACGTGTTCTCTCTTTCCTTTCCCTCATTTTCGATCGCTTTTCTCGATTTTCTACTAACAAAATGCCCCCTTGGAAGAATATAAATGATTTCTGTTTATATTCTTTCAATATTCCCGCCTTAGTGTTTGGAGGCCCACAGGACTTAGGGTTTAGGGTTTCTGGGGTTCTAGGGTTAAAAGGGTTTTAGTTTTCCCTTTTGCTTTACGTCGCCATCTCGTCAGTCTACTGCTTTTACAGTACACGCTACATTTATTACCTTTCACCTCCGTCGTTTCCAGCCCCCTAGACGATTTTCCCTTTTAAACTCTATTGGTTTTCTACTAAGGTTTTTTACGCGAACTTTTGTCCCTTTACACTTTCATCTTCTTCCTTGAGTTCCTGTCTTCATCCTTGCGCCCCCTCCTTTTATCTTGTTTTCCTCTTAATCTCCCTATTACTGAAATGGCAACTTCCTCTAAGTCTTCCGACTTTTCCGCTCCACCTCTTCCTTCGCTGACGGCCAACCTTTTGGAAATCAATAATCAAAAGTTTGCTCCAATCCCTCTGATGGAGGAGGCTTCTCAGAAAGTTTCTGAGACGCAGGTACTTATTCCTTACACTGCTGATAGTGTTAATTTTGGTTTTGGGGGTCCTGTCCGTTCTAGTAGTGGGACTTTTTCTTCCTTCACCCTCTCGAACAACCCAACACTTATTCATCACCCTGAGGTTCGGACGGATTTCTTGAATATGGCATCGAGAGTATACCGAACGGGTCCACCTTCCAAAAAACCTTCATTCCTTAGGTGGTTTGATAGAGTACAAGCTAAGTTTGGGAACCACTGGAGAGATATAGGGATTTTTGATTTTTTACAGCTATCTCGATGCGATCTGTCGTCTTTGGATATGACAATGTTTCTATCTGCCGTGCATTTGTGGAACAAGGATCTGCATGCCTTGGAATTACCCTGTGGTCCCCTGTCACCTACTCTCTTTGAGGTTGCTGCTATAACCGGACTAAAACCTACTGGGGAGAAGTATTATAAGGGTGCTTACCCTTCGGATAATTCTTTGAGATCTAAAATCGATTGGGAATCGAAGGCTTACGGACATTTTCTTGAGAAGCATTTCGTCGATGACGAATTGAAGGCTGTGACTGACGAAGAACACATAGCCTTTTTGGTATATTGGCTATGTACCCACGTTTTTTGTCCTCGATCCATCCAAATCTCCTCACACCTCTATAATCTAGCCTACCTTCTCCATACTGGCCAGCCTAAGATATGTTTGGCTAAACTCTTGTTAGCGCATGTGTATACTGCTTTTGACGAGGCTGTCGAAATTTTGAGCACTCCTAAGGCATCGGGAAACTTTTCTGGTCCCATCTGGTTTATTCAGTTATGGTTAAACTCGATTTTTGATAGCATCCTCCCCCCGACTTCCAACATCCCCCCAAATGTAAATATAGAAGGGGCCCGATTATCCTCTCGCCATCCTTACCAAAAACCCGATGAAGCTGCTTATTGTCAATACCTTAATTTTTTGTTATCTAGATTTAATTTCGATTCGGTTTTAGCTCCTTTTACCGTGCATCTCGGACGAATAAATGATCAACTCAGGGGACCAATTTGGTTTAAGTCGAAGTTCCCTGCCTCAACTCCTGGATTGCAATTAGAGTTGGTAGATATCTGGAGTAACTATTTAACTCATGATATGCTGGTATCGGGTTTTCAATCCAAAGACTTCAAGATCATCATTTACTACCCTCAGCTATTCTCGAGACAATTCGGCCTGAGCCAATCCTTACCTTTCTTCCCTTTAGATACCTCCCCG